GACAGGCTGCGTGAGGGCAGGGCGGGCGGAGGGGTCTGGCCAGGGCTTAGGGGGCCCCAGCAGGCAGGGGGTGGGTCTGGGTCTGGGGGGCCGGGGAGGAGGGCGCTCAGGACCTTCCCTTCCCCAGGGTCAGGAGGGCCTGAGTGGGGACCCAGGGCTCAGAGTCCAGGGCCAGCGATCGGGGAGAGCACAGGGCACAGCCCACCTCGTTGAAGCGGGCGTCCTGAGTGGCCGTCAGCCCAAAGCCCTGCTGGTGGCTCTCAGAGGCCAGCAGGTGGGCCAGCAGGCGTGCAGCGACGCGGACATCTTGGCTAAAGTAGTGGTCAGTGTGGTCGGTCACCTCCCGCAGCCTCTGAGCCAGCTTCTTGGCCTCCACAGTGTCCAGTGCTGTCCTGTTCAGCTCCAGGCCATCCAACTGCCGGACAAAGATGGGGTCCGAGGTCACTGGGTCCCTCAGGCCTTTCTCAAAAGCCTCACAGGAAGGGTTTGGCCAGATTAAAGGGCACCCGGGGAAGGCCCGGGCCAGGGTCGGGCATGGGGTCTGGGCCGACCACAGGCCTGGGGAGACTGGGGCCAGGGCCGGGTGGGTGCTGAGGGCAGGGCAGGGGCTGGCGGTCTCACCAGCAGCAGGAGCTCGCGGAAGGCGGGGGAGGTGCAGTTGAAGAGGTCGGGCTCCAGCCAGCCCTTGTCCTCGTCACAGAGCCGCACGGCAGCACCTGGGGGCAGGCGAGCCCGGTCAGGCCTGGGCCGGGCACCCTCCCGAGGAGGTGGCCACCGCCTTCTCCCGTCTCAGGAGAAGCTCTGAGTCAGAGACCAGAGGACTGCCGCCAGACCCTGGATGGAGCAGCCCAGCCCCAGCGCAGGCAGCCCCCAGCTGCTGCCAGCCAATTCCTGAGGGTCTGGCCGTTCGGAACCACCAGCAATAAAAGAGGGCACGAGGGCAGGCCTGTGCACACGTCCGCACGCACATGCCCACATAGGCCAGGAAAGGTTCCAGGCATGCGGCCCAGGGCACGCACGTGTGCGCACACACACCCCGATGCTCCTAGCTGCACACACAGGTGTGGGGACCAGGACAAGCACACACACACACACACACACACACACACAGGCCAGGTTCTCCAGGAGCACTTTGTGACCAAACTGGTGAGGGGAGAAGTTTCCACGCAGGTTTAACTGCCCGGGGATGGCTGCTGCCGTCTCTCCTGGTCCATGAGACGGGGGCGGGGGCTGTATCAGAAGGACCTGGACCACGAGGGAGCTTGCAGCCATCAGCGAAAGGGACCCTAACCTTAACACAGGGTCCTCTCCCCCCAAGACAGACTCACAGACACGTGCGCAGGCACAGAAAGACACACACACGTGCATGCACACGGATGATCTCTGCCCAGCCACTGCAGGGACCTCAGGCAAGGAGGAGGGTTTGGGGGAGACCTCAGGCCGTGGGGAGGAGCCTCTAGGAGCCTCGAAGGCGGAGTCACCTTTCGAGAACTCAGGCAGCAGGGACACAGGTTCCTGCAGGGACCTCAGGACCTGAGGAGGTGGGAGGGGCAGCCAGAGTCTCCAGGTGTGGTGAGGGTCCCGGAGGACCAAGGGGCCCCGGGACCCCAGCAGTCAGGAGTAGCTTTCAGGGGCCTCAGGCAGTGGGAGGGGCCTGCAGGGGCTTCAGGCAGCAGGGGGATCTGCGAAAGCTTTGGCAGTGGGGGAGGGGGGCAGCGCACCTGAGCAAACACGTACCCCTTACCTGCACCCCGCAATCCTGCCCAGAAGCCAGGAGAAACAGACGGAGGCTCAGTGAGGTGGGGGAGGGGCACGGAACCCCTAGGAGGCAGTGAGGGGCCCTCCTGAACCTCCCCCCCTCCCACCTCTGCAGGAACCAGGCCGCCCGTCTCAGGAAGAGGCGGCTACCGCAGGCCAAGGACAGGCCCCCCCTGAGCAATGCGCCTGCTCCGAGGTACTCACCCAGGGCCCCCCGGGGACAGGGCACTGAGGCCAGAAGGCCGAACTTGGTCTGGGGCCACCACACACCAGCTCGTAGCGACTTGGGGCAGGCATCGTACAGCACTAAGGAGACGGGAGGCAGTGAGCCAGGGGCCAGGGGCAGGGGCAAGTGACAGCCTCTCACACGGCCCCTCCACCACCCAGCCCGCTCACAGCCCGCCCCTCCCCGGCTGGCCT